TCCGCATCTTGTATAGCTTTGCATGGTGGGTTTTCTTTTCTATTTCGCCATACAAGAACGCCTTCTGGGCTGTTAATACGTTTTCAACGGTAGGATTTTCTGCGAGGCTGTGCTTAGTCTTTAGATAGGGCACAATAATTGCCAAGTACGTGTGATGAGCTTTCTTCTGCTTCAAAATCGCTGCCCTTCTGATACAAGTGGGTGCAGTATCTATAAGAACATTATGTAGTTGGAGAAGCATAAGCTCACTCTTCTGCTCAACATTATGAAGTCCACGTCCTAGCTCGTCCTTCGCAGGTACAGTCTTTCCAAGCATACAGGCTGCTTGTGAATTTCGTATTCGTTTAGTAACTGTCTAATTTCGTGGTCTATAGCTTTGAAGTCTTCTGGCTCTAACACTAGCACCCCGATGTAATAATTAATTAAACTAATGACGTGTTCATTTACTGCCTTGATAAAGTTCTTGCCATTTTGTGCAGTTTCGATTAATCGCTCAATTCTCACTAAAATCTCTGCTGAACTTTATCGTTGCTGTCTCAGGTCGGTGCATTATTCCTGTTCTTCATTATGCTTGGGACACCTTTTGAAATCAGGTTCGGTAGTTCCTTTGTAAAACCTATTCTTCTCCATTCAGACAAATCCGAATTAATAGTTCATTATACAGATCCAAATGCATAGTGGTGCATTTCTTAACTTTTTAATTCCTACCATCTTCCATTTGAGAATATAGGTAACGAAATCATCTTCTCAATTTCGGTTTTGAAATATTTCATGTACTTCATAATTTGAAACAAACATTTTCAGATATTCGTTGTACCAGATATGATCATCCTCCTCCATTACCAAGTTCCACATTGTGGCCCAGAACTTCTTGACTTCACTTGTGCATACATTATCCGTGAAATGTTGTTCCTGGATAGTATGTTTCCTGTGGAACCAACCGCCTTCTGAACAGCTCAAATATGACATTTTGAATTTTGAACGTACACCGGAACTCATAGCTCTCTAACGCCCATTAAAAGTCCAAAACCATTAGATTACCAATAAAAATTTTGTAAAAAAAATAGATATACCTTATTGTTATAGTCCATTAATGTAGGGATTTCTGTCAATTTAAATCTTTCATCGATTCGAAATGGATTTGTTTGACTCTTCCAGCTATGAATGCAAGAAAATTTAGTAGCTAGAAGTCATCACTTGTTTACTGTTCATTAACAGCGCAATAAGTGAATGAAAGCTACACATTTAATAATTGGTAGTTTACATATATATATATATATATATATATAAAGTTGTTAACACAAAACAAACTTACTATGATCGGAATCCTACAGTACATTCAACAAAGGTAAGATCCAAATCATTCGAATGCGCCATCTCAGAAATAATCTTTTCAATAACTGATTCTGCTAAAAAGTATTTTTCTGACCAAATGCAAATGACTTGCTGAACGAAGAAATATTAATCAGGCGGTGCAATACGAGTTACTGTATTAGCACTTTGTAAAGATAAACAGTATGTTGTTAGCTGATCGAGGTTAGGCATTGAATGAAAAATAAAAAACCTTGGACACAATCTGGACACCAACTTTTGTTGCCATCTTTTGAACCAGAAAACAGAATGATGACTCGATCTTTTGTTTGCTTTAGCATAGCATTTAAAGCGTCATAACCCTCGACTGTCCTACGAGTAAATACCATTTCTCGTGAATCGCAAAGAAACAGCAATGTCAAGATGTAAAAATTCCTGATTTAATCTAAACATATAACTGCTTTGAATTAAATTTACTGATATGAAGGCAGACATAACTGTGCGCTTTGAATTACATTCGTATTTGACTGAAAAGATGAGAAGTACTTTCCGAATCTAGAACCAGTTAGTAGTAAAAAACAAGAACTGATAACCAAACATCTACATCAAAATACATATGATAAAAAGTACTTCAAAAAAAGCAAAATATATCCAAACTTGATAACGAATTTCAAATCATGACAGTGGATGTCAGTGATATCAGAGTGCCAAGAAAAACTAAATTTTCTGATCTGATCTGGTGATATCCACAACTTCAAAATATGAAATTTAGTTCTATGCGATTTGACCACAGCAAACTATCAACACTCATTGCTGCTTATCACTGTCTTTAAACTTCACTCATACAACGCAGTGATTACGAGTCCTGTACACTGATAACAAATGGAGCTGGTAGAAACAGAATCAAGTATTGCTGTTCTCATGTTTCCATTTTAAGTCAGCTAAATTTGCAATCTGCCGATTACATGGAAATGATCGAAGCATATTATCTATATTAAGTTGATTCGCAATACCTTTTTCTAAAATTTTGAAATGAACTACCATAAAAGTCTGGTCGTTTACCCTTACAACAATACTAAACGGTACAAAGTCCTTCCAAAAAATTAATTCATATTGCATTCTTTATTAAAAAATTGATGACATATCCTGAATGAACGAAATTAATGTTAGATCAATGATCAGATATGTGAAGTTAACAAGAGCATGAACGGCAACGTATAAAAAGCAGCAAGCTTCCAATAATTCCTGCGTCGAATAAAGGCACTGTTCATTTTTTACTTTTGCAAATCCGACTGAGTCAAACAATAGACTTAATATTTTTGTCAAGTTCGGTGCATGAAGCCTAAGTAAACTTTTCACACGTACATACATAGCTAAAGTAACAAAGTTTAACTACGAAGGTACTATTATTAACTGTTCACTATTTGGCGTAATAAACAACAAGCAAATTTAAGGTTAGTGAAGCAAAGAAAACGAACTCTTCCTAAATCGTGGAAATAAATATTTCTGAAAACTTCGAAAAGATGTCATGATGTGCAATTAATTTAACCGTTGGATTCTTTCACAAGAAACAAATAACTTTTTCTGCTAAAAAAGCCATTAGAGTATGAAAGCAAGCTGAAACGACATCTCATCACCACAGCATATTATTTTTATTAGCAGTTGAAGAATTTTACTTTTCAATTAGCTACAAAAAAGCTGATAACAAGCTTTTTCCAACATTTAGTTGAACTACAAGACATAAAATCAAGCAAATTTTGATTGAAAATCCAGTAAAATCAGGAAAGAAGGGGTTGATGAAGATGCGAATTACCACTACAAATGCTACAGATACTTGACATTACGTATAAAATCAGAGATGGATGTAGAGTATAACAAAGTTCTAGCTTATCAAAAATTTTTCTTGCTATTATAATATCACCATTTTTCATTAATTTTGAATCCAAGTCAAGAAACTTGCGAGCCTTCAAGATTTTGTTCGCTTTGATCAACTCTTACATTTGGAATCAATTTTGTCAAATTCTTCTTTTTTGCATATTCCATCAAAGCTTTACGAGCACTAAGACCCAATCCAACACGGTTTGCTGTACGTGCCAGCCAGTGTGTGCTATGGTAAAAGATCTACATTTAAATTTAGTCCTTAAATGTACTCAGATAATTTATATTATATTTCAAATTATTATCTGGTCAATTCTTCCTAATCTTTAGATGACATTTTCGATTTTAAAGTGTTTTCTAACATCAAAACCGCAATAAGAGCATCACACTTTTTTGCTGTTTAAATTTTTGGTGAAATTTCTCGGAAATGAGGGTTTTCAATAATTTGTCGGGCCTAAAGCATATAGAAAAGCAAAACTTAATAATATCCAAAATAAAAGTTAGGTTTGCAGACCATTATGTGTCTCGATCAAAGTATGGGATGATACCTGCTAGTAATAGCTTCCGTAACACTTTTCAGATGGCGCACGTGTATTATGGTGACGAATAAAATAGCTAATGAACAACAGTTGATAATTGTTGGGACGATTAAAAGAATAACCACCCAGTGGTAATAATGCTCTGCTACATGGGTACATGTCCGAACTGAAACTTATCATCAGAAAAAGGGATCGGACCAAAACATTAGCCACAATGTGATTAAAAGAACTAAGAATGCACATGAATTCACAAAAGTCACAAATCCCTCTTCCGGTATAGAATTTGATGTTCTCATAAGACTCAAAAAGAATAAACCTGTTGTCATGTACTTAATTCATGATTTGCATATACATACGTCTTTTAGTACGTTAAGATAGATAATAACTTCACTGTGCTTTTGAAATAGTCAATAAAACTTTATTCACTTATATTTTTTAGTATAAGTTGTTCGCTGAGATTGATAATACTTACAACTGACGAAGGAAACATCACCTATTGAAGACATCCCAGGATGTGAATTGTCAACTTAATGATCTTTGCACTACTGACACACAAAGACGAATATGTCACAACTCAACAACTACTTTCAATAATAATAACAAATGATTCCATTCAGAACTGCTTATATATAACGAAACTGCAAGAGCAAACAGTGGAAGTTTTGGATCAGAACTGAACTGAGTTTAAGATTATACGTCAGTAAGATTTTATGTAAATCTAAAAAACGTTAAAACTCCAAAAGTAAAAAAGTAAGAAAGGTTCTAAGCCAAAGTTCCAGAGATTTGCATGTTGTGTTTTTTGCTGTAATTAAGAAGTTAGATTGTAAAACAGAGAAAACATTGTAAGTATTACTTAATTTGAAAAAAATTGCTTTGGAGGGCAAACCTAATTTTTAACTATTTGGCACATATCAAAAAGTCCACCATTTGAAACAAAAACAAATGAATTGATACAAACTTATGTCATGAACGAGTTTTGCTCCAAACAGCAATCGAAATGAAATTCTATGTCATGATCAAATAATGAGATAAATATTCATTTCATCACTAGTAAGTTAGTCACTTTCTCCATACAACATGAACTTGGTCAGTACGAAAGCGTTGTGTCGTACTACACTCTTCAAATTTGAATACCATTTTCACATTTGCCATATGCCAACCAACTTGAGCTATCATAGCACCATTATCAATACAAAATCTTTCATCTGTTGCAAAGAGTTTGGCACCTCTAAAAACTTTTATTATTAAATCAAACCTACAGAACTACTTACTGATTTTTGATCGAAAACCAATAAATTTCTGATATCTAACAAGATCATTCTGAAACCTATTCAACTGCATATCATATCTAATTTATTTCACTTTACATCTGTAATTACCAAATTTTCTACTTTTATTGCGTATGAAATTATGACTTATTAAACGCTCACCTCTCTTTGGCCATAATTGACATCATCGTCTGCAGCCGTTTGTTGGAACCAACGCCACCAACAATCAAGACCTCACTACTACCACAGTGTGCCATTGCTCGTTCTGTGATTTCTACTAGCATAGCGAAAACAGTTTCCTACAGATAAAATATGTTTAAGAAAAAATATTTCAAACATGGGGACACAATATACTAGAGTCCTCCTTCACTACTCAGAGGTGCCAACTAATCTGCAAAAGTAGTTAATGCCTCTCAAAAGAAAAACAACTTCCAGCACAAATCAAATTTGTGATTACCCGAAATAAAACACTACAAACCTGTAATGAAAAGCAAAGATCTGCTTTAGTGCATTCACCTTTGCGAACCATTTGTAATCCTTTGTGCTCGACATATGAAAGTATACCAGAAAGCGCTAAATCCATCCCTTTCACTGTATACGGTAAACTTATTAGCTTTTTCCCTTGCAGAGCAAGCTGTTCCAAATTGTACGCAGGGAAGGGGTCGTTTGGAAGGTCCACCAAGCGAGCAAATCTAAATAAATGTGACTTTGATGAACTGTCTATACTGATCCAACGAATACATTTCGCATACCTGTCTAAGCAGTTTCCAACAGCAATATCTAACGTTTCACCAAATATCCTGTAGCGCTGATTTGAATAGCTGATAACCTGATAAAAAAAATTGACTGTAAGTGAACTTACTATACTTCTAAAAACAACATCAAAAAGATGAGTTTGGCCAACATTTTTTCAACAAACCTGAGTATTGCCTCCACTAACATAAAGCACTACGGGATTTTCAGCCTTAGTAATCAAGCGGCCCATTTCAATATGACCAATGCAATGATTCACCGGGTACAGTGGTAAAGACCACAACTGTGATAACGTACGTGCTACAGTTGCACCAACTTGTAAGGGAGCGCCCATACCTGGCCCTTTAGTATAAGCAATTCCACTGATTTCATTTTGCGGATCCTAAACTATTTGCATTTCAGATATAATGATCTCAATACATGTGCACACTCAAAACAACTACATCACATTCAAAACAATTATCAGATTACCATAACGTTTGAGAAACTTATGAAAGATTTCTATTACCTAACAACAAAGCTAGCTCAAAAGTTTTTTACATTGTTATAATTCTGCAAATATTCAGTACACTTGACATTCTACACATTTTTTGAAATATTAATATTTTACGTATTTTTTAATAGTACTATAACTTTACATGTTGAAAAAAAAAACAACAGCATATGGATAGGATTACTGAATTCTACTACTTGAGCAAAATAAATTATAATTTATTGAAACAGAGCAATCTATAATCTACATCAACAGTATCCTTCAGTTACTTTTAAAGCATAGAAAATCTTACCTTAATACCGGCTTGTTGTAAAGCATCAAGAACGATGCGAACGATGTTTTGCCTATGATGCGCTGCCGTTTGCGGTGGCCGAAACCCTTCGCCGAGTGGTGCATGATAAGTAGCACGAGGATTAGCTAACACCTAATTTACTCACCATTAAACACTATTATTGACGATCTCAGGATGTACACAACTTGGTGACATGTTTAAATAAATAATATTAATTCATATAATTGTACCTTGCCATCATGAACTATCCCCACACCAACTTTGTTAGCACTGCTTTCAATACCCAAAATACAGACCATTATTCACTACGTCAACAAAATCGATCCAGTTGTAATAGTTGCTCAGCTTTCTGAAACAAATTTTAGGATGATGAAAATCCTATACTAATTGCAGGAAACTAAATGATTTCATTGTTAATCATAGTTTAAAAAAAATTTCATTCTACATTTTCAAATACTATTACAAAAATCTTTGTAACAAAAGAATTCTTAAAAATATTACGAAGTTAAAAGACCAATTTTTGGTCGGTTACTCTTTGAAGCAGTGACTTTTTACAGGGTTTATTATTAATTTCGTACCAAATAATCCCTCGATAAACTCTTTGGACTTCATAGAACGGGTAAGGTAAGATTTTCTTTACACTAAGTATGAAGAGTGTTCCAATTTATATCAATTCAAATAAAGATTACAATAATACTACTGTTATCTATGCTAGTATTGAAAAAACTACGACCGTTCGACAGTGATTAACGCTTATATAATACTTAACAAATGAAGTATGAACCTGACGTAGTTGCTCAGCTTTTTTGCCTGTAGCTTTTTTATTGAAAAAGAATTCACGATAGACCCGTTCACAAAAATATCCTTTGTCAGTGTAGGCAAACTTATCAGCTTTTCGTAGAATCTTTTTGTAGAGCGATAAAACCACTCTTGAATCGCTCATCAATACTAAACAAGTGCAGAACGTAGCGTGCAAGACTGGAAACTAATATTTCTTTTTGATCTGATGTAGAAAAAAAAAATTTGTTACCTCATAATAACTAATACACCAAGTTTTAAATATGGAAATAAATCTCTCCCACATTTCGTGATAGTAATGAACCATTGTCAAGGCAATTCAAAAAAATGCTAAACATTTATTTGCAGTTACAAATAAAACATTTGAGAAGTTTCAGTTACAATTTATGTTAGAATATGAGAAATTAATTCTGCTATCGGACAAAAAGAATAGAAAAGGAATCGCGAAAATGTTTCGTCATTTTTCCCTCTTATAACGTGGAAAAAACTCCGGTACATTAACTGCAGTATTTTTCGATATCTTCATAAATGTACTGAATGAACTGTAGAAGTGGTTTAATACATTAAATCTTGTACTTCATAAACCATACAAATCCATACATTCACCAAGAAATAAATTCCTCGAGCAACAATGTTTACAAGCAACTCTTCAAAGACAATCAAAAAAGTAGCAATTGAATCAAACAATTATTTGATACACTTTATTGTCAGCAAAACTCTGAAACATGAAGCTGAAAGCAGAAGAAGAAGGTAATTTTCAACTTATGAATCATCCGAAATCTCAGTAGTACTCCTTCCTATTATTTTACACGATCAAAAGGCGCTAATGACTGAAAAATTTTTCAACATTAAAAACCTCATATGAATCATAAAAAATAAATGAAAATCCTAATATATGCTTCTTGTGCTATGTAATGAAATGTCGACTGTTAAGTAGTATAATGGAGTGGAAGAAATTTCGAAATTCTGCTCATATCCAAACTTTAACATGAGTAGTAAGACAACTATGCAAAGCAACATATGGTATATTTGAAGCTATCAATAATTTAAGAGTATCAAAAAAAGTCAATATTTACATGCATGAACCAGTTTGCTTAGAAACAAATTCAATCTCGAGAACTGATTACACTGAGTAGCACACTGTACAGTTCAGGAATATAAAAAATATGGGAAGAAAATGTCATTATTTCCTTCAGTTAAGTCACAAAATTTGCTAGATCATAAAGTGAATGCAACTTCCTACCATTTCGATGATTTTTTCTGACAGAAATATGAGATGCTTTACAAGTACAGACTTCAAATAATTAAAGTTTCATTACTGAATCAAAAACAACTTTGTCCTCAGGAATTTAAACCAAGGTACATGAACAAATGGACATGAAGATAGAATATTTTAAACAAAGATTTAGGACTGATTGAATTAATTTCACATACAATCAATTCACTACGAATGAGCGTGTGAAGATTTTTCACTACAATTCAGGATTTGAAAAGCAATTACATGTTCCCGAAAAAAAGGTGAAAAAATATACAAAAAAGCAAAACTTACAGATCAAAGAATTAAGGCAAAGAAAACTACTTAGAACCACGCTGAAACTACTGTTCCTTTCTTACAAAATCCACGTCAACTGATTTTCATCCTAGAGGACCAAGAACTGTACTGGTTTTCAAAGTAACGAAAAAGATAAAACGAATAAATAACGCTACTCCAATAATAACGACAAAAAGCCAGATTAAATAGATAAATGGCGCCGATTTTGCCATATTCCATGTTCCTATCTGAAGAATTAGAGAAATAAATATTCAAGAAGACTTTTATTTGTAGCATCTTAAATTTTATAAAAGTATGCGCAATCCGACTTCATGAGTTTCCGTAAACTATATAAAGGTAGATAATAAATGATCTCAAGCATTAACTTTTAAAAACTTTAAAAAATTATTTTCCGAGTTGAAGTCAACTGGTTTTGAAGGAAGAGTCATTTCTTGCCGGCTACTTGCAAACAAAATTTTCTGTGCAGTGAAAAACTTACCATCAAACCAATTAATGCCACCACGGATACCACTGAACATACAATGTGAATGACTGCGCGATTACGAGCGTAATCACGACCCACAGACGAACTGAAATTTTCTTGATTTGTTTCTAAATCACATTCATTTACTATAATAAAATTATACCCAAACCACGCAACACTACTTATTAATAATCAGATAAAGTAGTGTAAAAAAGATACCGAATTCTTTTTGAAACTACTAATTTTACCCAATATTTTTGCTTACATCTTTTTGCAGTGAGGGCATTTCGCAACGGTGATGCTAAGGGTATTGAACATGAACACTTCGTGACAATGACCACAGACAATTCGGCATGTTCCAGTTGGAGCTCTGGAAAATGATTGATTTACAAGAAACGTCACAATTCTTCCAATCAATCAAAATTATCAAATCAATATTTATCAAAAATAAATGTGAAACTACATACAAACATTCTTATCATAATCAAAAGCCCTACACCAGTTCTGAGAAAACAACAGTATTTCAGCTTACTAAAATTCATTCTATAGGACTTTGCAAACATAACAGAGAAACCTAATAGCATGTCCCAAGGGTACGCTATCACCTAAAGTGATAACACGCCTGCAACTGAGACGAGGACACGCGATACGATTTGATGAAGCTTTACACAGCAAAAGACAGTGGCATGGACAACGTACGTATTTTTTACCAGGTGGTGCAGGACGAATTGGTGTTGCTTCATTGCAATGAACACATCTGACTACATGATGTCTGCTCTAGAAAATCAAAAATAAAAACAAATTTTTATCATCATAAAGCGGGAGCTGGAAAGAAATTATCAAATTGCACTATGAGAGATGTTACAATCTCTCAATTTCATGAATCCATTCAAACATAACTGTTCTCTCACAAACTGCGATAGAACTTCCTTTAGAGCTGATTTACCTTGTTATCAATAGTAATGAGAGCCGAACAGACCCGACATGGGACGCTAGGTTCTAAAAGACGAGTCGTATCAGATGACTCCCCTGATGTATCTGAAATACTCTGTTCTTGTGGTACCATATGGCACTCCTCATCTCGACTCACATACTCCTCAGGAGTATTGATAGTGTTCTGATCATCAAGACCTTCATAATTACGAATAACCGATGATTGATCAGCTTTCAACAAGGGTGCACTTTCGCAATCTTCATTCTCAATTGCGTCACCCATGCTCTCTGCCACCTCTAAAGCATCTACTTGGAAAATAATGATCACTTTCATTCTACAGCGAATGCGATAGAAAATATAACCAGATTATTCAACAACAAATGCTACTCCATGCTTTATAAAATGAAATGATGTTTCACAACTCACCACGCCACAACTGATGGTTTCCAAAAGGGAACACTCCAAAAACCCCCTCACTTTATCACCTTAAACAGTATTGTTTTGAGAAAGGCAACTAATATGACATATAAAATGAACAGATTAGAATTTATTACTTTTAAACCGCTTTAAATAAATAATAGAGGACTGGCTATTATTGTCTTTAATATTTTACACAACTGACCAGTAAATTAATAATCAGATACATGGTGAAATGTCACAATCAAATACATGGTGAAATGAATTTTACATTAGAAAAATCTGCAATGAGGATGAAACTGGAGATTATCAAAATGAGAACCAGATAAAGCAGTTTATGATGATCACCACCGCCACGAATAAACTCCGTTACGTCCTCTAAGCAATATTTTGTAAATATATATCACACAAACACAAATAATCAAGATATTAGTAAAGAATAAACAGAATAGACAGTTTTTATGGTATTATCCATATTAATTTAAAATAAAAACGGATTATTAAGCTTTACAAATTGACGAGAGGAATCGATAACTGTATGTCAAAATTACTTAATTTGTTCAACACAACAAGCTGCTGCAATTTACTCATAAAATAAACAGGAAATTCATCTTGTTTGACGATGGAGAGCAAACAATAAGAAAAAAACAATCAATAATTTAATATAAACACGATTAGCAACATTTCTGAATGATTGCGCACATTTTTTCATTTGAAAAAAAGTAAACACAAAAAAATACCAAGGGACACGAGTAAAACCGATGAGAGGGAAATTATAATAAAACACTGTCGATGATGAATAGTGCTCTAGCTACACCACTTACAAAAACAGAAACTGTGATAAACAACCTTTCAGAAACATAAGATCACAAATTACGAACAAATATAAGATGAATTCTTCGCATTTTTGATTCTTGAAAAATTTCACAATCCTTACTTATTTTCAGAAGTACTATCAGTGTTTTCAACAATTTGAGCGAGCTGATAATGTTGTCTTCTAAGATGAGCAAGATGTGCTCTTTCCCGCACCAGTTTGTCTTCAAGTTCTAAAATACGCACCTGACTTTCCATTTCTTCTTTCTTAGTATCATGCAGAGTATAATGACTGAAGTCAAGATCTTCTGAAACACTGACAACAGTTTTTTAGTTTAATTCAATACACAACTCTGTTTAAGTGAAAGGTCTGAATATAAAAGCTTAGAAAATTAACATTTCATATAGTAACGAATCGATTTTTTTTCCCACAATAACGCAACCAATTGTTGTTATAGAATGTTAGCTATCTGGTTCGAAAAATAGAAATTTTACTAGATGAATGCGATAGTTACTGCTTTTCATAAACAAGATGCTAATATACAGGAAACAAACTCTGTTCATTTAAAGTATTTCGAGCATTTTTAACTGTGGCAACAATATTAGCTGTGCATGTATTGACAGAACGAGATGCTGCAGATAGTTCGCTCAGGCGCTGTGATTCACGATCTGCTTTCACACGAGAAGATACAAATAACTGTGCTGTACTTGCTGAGATTTCTTGTGATGCGGCAATTAAGTTTTCGAGTTTGCCTTGACCGGAAATCACACCATCAGCACTTTGACTAAATAATTTAAAAAAGTTGTGAAAAATGCTGACTGTAAACCAATTTTCGAAATTTGAATTATGCATCCGAAATGTTATTACAGGAATTATCGTAAGTAAAGTTTAAGACCAAGTCTACAGACAGATAACAAGGAACAATGATAATATAGTACTGACTGAGTCTCAATTAATATTATTATTTTGATGACTTACACAAGTACGGTCGCAGAGACTCCAACAGCTCTAGCTGCTGAGAGTAATCCCTCTGTCCATAGATGATTTCTTCTATAGAATTCATTGGGATTGGCTATACCATGACCACATGCAACAATTTCTTCTTGCAATGCTCGACTTTTTGCTACCAGCACAACAATTGCAGTCATTAGCTGATTACAAGAGTCCAGAATTTCTTCATTAACTTCTAGGCTAGAACATTTATACATTCTTTTATTCCATTTTGTTTTATTTAAAATGACTCACTTAAATTCAAGATTGTTTAAAATCTACTAAAAGTCGATAGAACTAAATGAAAATGGAAAAAATTTTAATCAGAGTCTTTTCTGAGACACTATATTTAAATTTTAGTAGGACAATTACAAGCATTAATTAATAAATTTTAGTAAAAATAACGTAGCTAAGTCGAAAAAATTTTCAGAAATATGATAACATACCGTATTCCAGAATCGGTAGCCCGACTTTTCTTTTGCATTTCCTCAATCCTCTCTACAGCTTTTTCAATAGCAAAATCCATGCGCTTCATTTCCTGCTCCAGTTCAGCACCGATTGTTTCAGCAGTTAGATCACTGGAACCGGCTGGTAGATCGAGACATATTTGTTCCAGCTTTTCTAATGAGCTCTGCAAGTAATACGTAACACCACCAATAAATGAAAATGATAGTACGAAGCAACCTTCAATCCAATTATTATTAATCGTCTTACTTTTAATTTTAGGATCGGATTTTTTACAGCTTCCAAATTCAAATTTCTTGCAGCAGAGTAAACAGTTACGGCATCATTCATTACGACGCAACACTGCTCTTGTGTTACTAAAAAGAGAATAAAATTGATAAGTGGTAAATCAATTTGCTCCCTTAAAATTAATTGTGATGCAGAAAAGAATTTAAAAAATCCAGTTGCTGTTTCGAAAAAACAGCTAATAATTCTGTTATCAGCAAAATAAAATTATAGAAAGTTCTAATAACCGATGAAAAATATTACATGACTTAGTAAATGATTTTGGAATGACAAGCTAAAGAAAATTTTAGAAATGGCTAATATACTTTGGAAATGTTGAATAGAGACAACATTAGCCGCAGCAGCACTATTCAATAAAACATTAGCAAGATAATGGCCCAAAAAAGTTAAAGTACGAAATAACTTCGCCCAATCTTTAGCATTCACTTCAATACTTGCTTGTTCAACCGTTACAATAACTGAGCGAAGAGCCGGTAAAACCAATTCTGAAAAATTAGTCACAATGCATATATTCAGAGTGAATAAATAGTTCCACCGAAAACAACTATTACTTTTAACTATTGAATAACAACTGAAAAATTTGCGAGATAACTAAAATTAATAGAGAAAAATTCAAATTTTATTATGGCTTACTAAAGTGTATTTTGAAGTCTCCTAATCTCATCCTGACTAGATGTAGTAACCAAAATAAAATTTACTGGCTTTAAAGCAGTATAATTTTTACTAATAAGATTCACAGGCAAGTGACAAAAAATGATCTTAGAAAAATTTACGGTTGCAGTACGTAATTGATAAAGCATCTTGTAGATCCTCAAATGACTGTTTCAAAATCTGCACATATGCGTCACATAATGATGCTGAAAGAACACAATATACAAAAATTATCAATCAGAAAGTTTTTTACTAAGAAATATGCAGAAAAAAAAACTATAAAATATATTTACCATAAAACCTTTTCCGCAGAATTTCTAATTCAGACTTATTTTTTGTTTGAATTTCTTCTTCTTTCTTGATATTTTCCGTTCTTGCTTGTTCCAAATCCTGAAATAAGAGAATGTCAATTTCCAAACTTCTGAATACTTTACCACAAATATTAAAAACGGTTAGGTAAAAGACATTTTTAAAACTTTTACAAATCACTAATAATAACTTTTAATTTGTAAAACAGAGTAAAATAAAGTACTTCTAATAATGAGTGTTTTTCGAAACCAGCTTTTTCCAAATTTGATCTTAATTCATCTATTGTTGTTTCAGAAAACTGAACTTTCTGCTCCAATTCCGAATTTTTAAGCTCTACTTTCACTAGTTTTTCCTTTACTGCACAGGAATCCATTTTGACATCAGTTATTTCCATCTTATAATCATTTAACATTGCATTAACGTTCTGAAAATCATGTAGAACAATCTATGAATCGAACGAAAAAAATAACACATACGTGGAATGTCTCAGTTCCTAATCGCTAAAACGTAAAAGAGATACAAACATAATTTAAAGAATTTATGCAATTTATAATTAGCTCCTGATAAAAGACATACCTCCTGAAGTCCTTTAATCTCAATTTCTCTTTCACTTAATTTTTTAGCAAGACTTTTGGCTTCATTGTTGATTTCCAATATTTTTCCTTCGTTATCCACATTTTTCTGTTCCAACTGCATCACATTTCTTTGTAAATTTGAAATTAATTCTTTGTCATTTATTTTTTCTGTTCGAATGGTTGTTAATTCTTTTTGTGCATCGGAGAGCTTCGTAAGTGTCTGAAAGTGTTTCAATAATCGTACAAGATCTTTTTCGACAATGCTTGAAAAGATGTGTCTGAAACTATTAATTAAATATTTACAGTAAGTAATTCTTGAATGAACTAATCCCATGTAAATGTATGTGCTACCTCAATATGTTCCTGCCTCAAGTTAGCGTAAGCGCACTTCATTTTTTGATAATTTAGTTCACTACTTTTAGCTTTTTGTTCAGTTTCAAGTAAACGTGTCTCATCAATACAATACTGTTCTTTAGCTATGCATGACGAACGCAATCTCTCAACTTCGTTCTGAAATCAGATACGATAAGTGCTTGCATGTTTACTGGAAAAAAAACATATGCCATAACAAAAAAAAATCTCAAACTGTACCATACATCAAAGAATTTTCATAATAAAGCGAACCTTTACTTCATCAAGTGATTGTTTATAATGGTCATTTTCTTGCTGCATTTGCAAGAATCGATTCTCATACTGTTCTATACGAACACGTGCCTCAAATAAAGCAAGTATTTATCAGACATGCTACTTTCCAGATTAATCTTGTGTTTCTGCATCGCTCCATTTTTTGTGTCCCGCTATTCTGAACTAACAATCATTCGATGCTTAGTAAGTAGGAACCTTGAAATTGACAACTTTTTGTTAAGTTGAGCGACAGCGAAATGCAATGTGAAATTCTAGAAAAGTGCACAATTTTACTGATAATCACTTCAAATAGTTTGTACCTCGTTCATAAGTCTTTCTTTGTCATAACGAGCCTCTTCAATATCTCGTTTCAAACTATCGATTATTGCATCCCTTGAAATTTAATCATTTTAAACGAATGAAGTAAAAAACAGATTTTGTATTGAAAAACGAAAAAAAAATCAGGTCAATTTTTCTTTTCATTCTTCCATTTTTTGAATTTTGTTTTTTTAATTAATCATTCGATGTTTAGTAAATAGAATATGAAATGAATGGATGACTTTAGAAATGCAAACTTGCGATTCTTGACAGTAATATTAAAGATCAAAACATACTATAGAAAGCTTAGTAGGAAAATATCACGAAATTACTTTGAATCTAGATGCTCTGAATTGTTCAATGTATTAACAACATCAACTAAATTTTCCTCTACTACTGATCGATCATCTGGAGGACTATCAGCCTCACTGACACCATCACCATGAAGATAAGCATTTGGTGCCTGATAACTTTCCAATTCAGATGCCTGAAATTTGTTGAATATATACAGAAATATAACGCTATGAATTAAGATGTGTCTCAAACATCAAATAATTGAACATGATTTACCAGCAAAAAGTTCGGAGGGTAAGACGGCAGCTTCGGAATGGAAACCAAAAATTTGAAGTATTGCAAATTTGTTGAATTTTCATAAAATTCTTTAGTTTGTTCAAATATAGTATTAAATCGGGTTCTATGTCCAGATAATGCATCTGGAGGCAATTCTAAATATAACAAAAAGCAAAGATTTAAAAGTATAGACATTGAAATAACAAAAAAAAAACAACTTTCAGCGCTAAAATATTAGATATCCATGCAACAAAAACGAATACATAAACAAGAAGTGTCATTTGAGAACAAAATTATGCACTACTTTAACATATGTTTACAAGAAATAAACCACACTTTTTGCTTATAGAGTTAATTAGTAATACTTACTTGAATGAAGCTTGAAAATTAGTTTCACCAGATGGTCATAGAATTTGCTAGTGTCAAGAATCACAAGGATTAATGGAGCAAGCATACACTGCCCTTGCGGAGCCAATGAACTCCAATTTACATTATCCATTTTTTTGAAAACTGCAAAAATCCAATACAAATAATTTTTTTGAAAACTAAAAAATTAAGAGATAAACAAATAAGCCTTAAAAAGTTACCAGTTTCCTGTAAAATTAGTAATTCATCCATTTGATCTAGCATTTCAATAGATAATTCAAATGACTGGTTCACATCAGCGTTTGCTAATGTTTTGACCTGATTATCATTCAACCTCAAATTTCCCGGTATAGATTGATTCTATAACAAACAAAATCAAAAATAATTCTGTAACAAATAAAAGTTTCAAAATAATGCAATATGATCATTGTGAAAAACGAAACAAAGTTCATCAAGAAAAAATGATCCTGACTCGGCTGTGAAATTCAAGTCGGCTAACGAGCATATGACAATAAGCGGAATTTGGTCGACCGTAGTCCGAATTTTCAAGATGATACCAAAAGCTTCCCAGTGTCTTTATGCGAGCTTTATACCGAACGGACTCTTCTAGGACTTTTCGATGACCATCTTGAATTAGCTGAAAAAACAAATAATTGCATATTTCTAGGCAAATGAGATTATGAATCACAGTAACTCACGTCAAGTAGTCGTCTAGGTTAAAAGCAATCCAACACAACTAATACATATCCAAGGTTGTGTGGATTTAAGTCAGAAAGGTTTCTTCCTGACATTTTTGACCATATAAACTACAACTGCAAAAATTTCAAAATAAGCATGCAAGCAAATTATTTAGTAGGACTCTTTAAAAGTCAGTTGCTGGTAGATTATTATCAATACGTCACTCATATCTTGATAAAAAAAATTCATACGACCAAATGAAAATATGCACTGATTATCCTGCTATCAAAAAAATGTTCCACAGTATCATGAGCAAATATAGGTGAAGATTAAAAATACGTGAATCATGTTTCTTTCGCCTAATCGTTTAACAAATCCAACATAACTGACAACAAACTTTGTGAAGCAATTGGCAGAATTTCCAGCTGATTATTGGATTTTTTTCTAATTGAATCCGCGAAATACAGTTCCAAAATAATGCACAAGATTTTTCTCGATGTGTGCCAACAATGATCTGCCGAGCATGTTTATGTTTTAAAGGCACTTCATGTTTATTTAACGCTTTATGCACCGATACGATCTGAAAAATTAAAAGTGCCAAAGATTCGTACAGAGAAATTAAAAATTTTCAAGTATTTATGAAAATGCAAGGTCCAGCTTTGCTTTCACCTGCTGTTTGATAGACGTTTCACGATCATCGCCTAAAACCACAGACTTCAGAGACATTATTAAATTGACCGTCCCTCTCCTGGGTTTGACGTAAACGTAAAGATAACAAAACCTAAAATACCACAAATTTAGATATCTTGACTTTCTAAAACTAATCAAATACTAAGAATTTCAGTAATATTCCAGTAATTAATTTCAGAGAATGCATTCATGTTTCTGGCTTTGCATCTCGAAAAAAGTATATTGCTAAATTCTGATCCCATGTATTATAACGAAAATAGCAGAGATTTATATATATCTGTTCAAATTCTCTTAAAATGTCTAATGCTGACGCCTGTAGCCTAAATTGAGAAATAAGGATGCAGCTAGCGATACGACAAGACTAATCTGAACTCATACATCGCCAAAAATAAAGCACACATTATAAAGTATCCAACACCGATCAAGATAAATACTACCTGATAATTATTTCAGAAACTTGTAGATGACAATTTAATCACTTTCGATACTCTCTCGTAAATGACATTTGATGGCAATTTAAGTAAGCCATTGTAAATGTTAATTTATGATGACTGACAATTGCAGATAACTTATATTTCGCAAAAACGTGAAAATTAATACAATATAACTTACATATACATAAATATATCACACTTACGCGATTTAAGTCATGAAAGAAATACGACATATGCTATTGAATGGTTAAAAGAAATATCATGAACACACGTATACACGTACACAAGTACGTGCAGAAAACGTTGATGCATAAACGTATACGCATGCACCCGCACAAGCACATTCAAGTGCATAAACAGACGAGTACGACATTACTGTTGAATGCTCTGCACTATGCGATTACTGCACGGTGAGCAGTAATCAAAAACTATTGTTCTCTGCCCGTTCTCTACTTCTCTCCTAGTTATGTACATTTAAATTTTGCATAATTTCTAAAAAATTAGAAAAGTAAATCAATAAATTTATTTTAATTATTTTGCCAAGAAAGCAGTCAGTTTGCAAAGTATAATTTGAGAATGAAAAACAATACTGTATGCAAATAGCCTATTTATTTGCTTTAAATGTAATAAAAACAAGAGACTGAATGCTTAATGTCATTTGTTATTATTATGCTGATCAGATGGCGGTCACTTTGTGTGGTACTAAGCATTGTGCAGTTAGGCCTAGCAGACAGCTCCTTGTCATATCATCCTGATTACAGCCGTCCATCACTGGCAAATACTGTAAGTAGCATTGAGAACAAATTCAAGCCCTCACCAGAAACGGAATGAGTACGACTAACCAATCCATCAGCACTTTTGAAAAGTTGCAACAAAAGTGCCGATGTCACGAGTTGCACACTCATAACGCTGCGTCCTTTTGAGTCCAGCAAAAAGGCAGACTCGTTATTGCCAGAAAAACTTCACACCTTTGAGACCCCCAGCCCACTCAGCCTGCCCTTCTGACTTTATTAATTCTTTGGGTAGAAATTACTAATAGTAAAATGATTCGTGTAGATAATCATAGCTGGTGCACTCTTATCATTGATAATTCTATTGCTTGTTCTGCTTTTACTACTTATCACAAGGCCAAAAGTAATGATAGATCGAGGAGAGCCACTTTCTCATATTTCTCTCAGGAAACGTTGCAGTGCAGAATTGATACCATGTAAGGTAAGAATTGAAAGTACATTCCTACATCGCATTTCAAACTCAAATTCACTGATAACATTCCAGTCTTCATTGATTATAAAAATATCTGAATGTAGTTCGTTTAGAGACGAATTATATGCAAACTACTTAAATTACGCTTTTCTTACAAAGTAGAAAAGAATTAGTAAATGTTGATAATCAATGAGGAGCACGGCAATTTTTTTTAAAGACAAATTTCCAGGCAAAAAAACCAGGCAAACTTCAGCTTTTAGTTCAGTCATATAAATCCCAATTCCAAGTCAAATTTGCTCGGATGACCAAAACACTAATCAGTTTCCAGCTGCATCTATATTAGCATTCCTTTTTGAAAATAAAAACAATGTTTCAATCTGCTCTGCATGCGAAAATTATGCAAATTACAGGAAAGTGAAGGCGAAAAAGTAGTTGAACTTCATTCATTGGAAATGAGTAACAAGTCAACGGAATCGAAAAGTGGATCTGAATGCGAGCCAGCGCAGACCAGTCCAAGCAATGACGAAGTAAGCACTTGCAGTACTTGCAAGCTGACAATAAAAATTCAGATTTCATGTAATCAAAGAAGTTTGCTCCAAGCAATTTTCAATTCAACCTCAATTCAAAAGCAAACTTTGAGGACGAAAAAGCGAACCTCACAATTCTAACTAAAAGCACCAAAAGAATTTTCAACACTTTCAATAGTCAGTGATAAGAGTGCTTGTAGTATCACAATTTGAATGCATGCATTCACAAACAAACAATTTCCATCAGTGGCTAGAATGATAAGAAAATTTTTGGGCTAATCAAATTTTTATAGAATTAAAACGATAGTGTTGAAGTTTTTTGACGTATTATCAAGAAAAAATAATAAATTGGAATATTTTCTCATATTTTTGATTTTGCTTAATTTGCAAGTTTCTTACTTATGGTACAGAAATGTGCTTTAATCTATAGGCTTTTGATATTAAATGAAGGGAAAGCTAATTACAGATTCCAAAATTGCCGACTCACATGATGAATATAGAAGGAGGAGAACCAGTGGTACTTTTCTTTAAAAAAGACGAACCGCAACATGTTATTTTGCCAGTTTACATTGTGGTTAAGAACGATGCAGTACCAAAGTCTAAAACTAGTATAACTCTTGATGAGGCCCTAGTAACACCCCCAACATCGAGTACCCAATTTTCTGTTTCGAATCCTGCATCATTCAAGAGTTTGACAACTTGGGGTAGCGTTAAAGTTGCCAAAGAAAATGCCAAAACAAGCACTACGAGAAGAAAATGCACAGAACGCATAAAGCCTTCTACTCCTTCAAGTACGTCTTCAACAGACAAAGGTGACTAACTAGCGCACTTCACTTCTTTCTGCAACTGAGCACGAGACTGAGACTCAGAATGATAAAACTGAAACAAAGATTACTTTAGTGCTGAAATGAAATAAATAAGTTATAGCAGAAGCTTCTTGAATTTATTATGTGCTTAAACCTAAGCATCGGATCAGTTTTTTCAGAGAGATCGAAAAGCCCTCAGTCGGAGATATCCTCAAAATCAACTAAGTCATCTTCAGCTGCAACTGACTCTGACAAAAGATAGTTCCTACTATTCAAATCAAATTTGTTCTACAAATGCATCCAATGTCATCTCAAAACCCAAAATAAGGAGTAAAACGATACCGCACATCACGAAAATTCCCAAACAGTTCTCTCAACCTCAAACGGAATGACTCACACCTTTTTCATTTACTTTATTATTTCATTCTCGGCATACATATCAATCCTTTACATTTAGGTTGACGTAAAATAATTCTTATTTGCGCTGACCTCTTTCTAATGCATAATAGTACATCAGAAAAGTGTTCCAATAATAATTACAATCACGTGACTGAGTACATTTGTGATTAGTATAACGGTTTGGCTCCACAATGATTCCTCTTCTTCGAGGCAATAAATGCACACGTGAGCAGAGCTGCTTCCACGGTTAGATTTTCTACGAGGTTGTACCTAGTTTTTAAATAGAGTACATGCCAAATAAAGTAAGTGTTTGAGTCTTGTCCTGCTTCAAGATCACTGCCTCCTGGTAGATATAGATGCTGTACTTACAAATACATTATGATGCTGGAAAAGTGCGAAATCCGTTAAGAAGTCCACATCTTAGCTCATCCCTTGGCAGCTACAGTCCCTCCAGACACTGGTAATCAATTCCGTGTCAATTCAGTAAAAGTGTAACTCTTTCTAAGATGAAAACATTTTCTAAGAAAATTTATGGATACAAAACAAGTACGAAGAAGGAAAGAAGTGAAAAGTCGCTACGAAATTGCATATGACGAATGGGAAAGACAGAAAGAAAACGTGATTAAATGAACAGAAAAACTATTTTGCATCAAAAGCAAATAATGGAAAGAAAGAGATAGAACGTGCGAATGACTGACTTCTTGCGCTTCGCAAACAAAACGCTACCGCAATGAGCGCAGAATCAGAGAACATGTTGGCTTCATTTCCAAAGAATGTCACGTTGCCGTAGCTGTGGCACTGTTGAGAGAAGACACTGCTTTATGTCAGCAATTTTTATCCAACAAAAAATTCCTAACTACGAATCATCTTGGAAAATAACTCCATTTTTTACGAATCAATCAGTATTGGACTGATTGAAATATATTCTGTTACCAGATCAATGTTGCGACAGATCAATAAGCATGTGAGCAAACTTTAATAAGACAGAAGAATGTCAACAGTCTGGACAACAAACTTCGCCATCATACCCAATGATTGCTTAAATAAATAGCAGGCCTCGCAGAAATATTGCACATTTTTTAATTTCAACAGAAAGTGGAACAGACTCGCAAACTGAGAAGCAAATTTAATGTGCTAAATAAATAATACATGCTAAATAAATAATATATGCTAATTAAACGATTGTTGTAAAATTACTGCCAACATTCCGACGGCAAATGCCTGCAATTCACTGAAGCCCAGATAAAGCAGAGATTACTTTCATTCTTGCCCTTTAACCTCCACTCATTATTTGGTGCTAATTTGGAAGTAAAAATTCTGCAGTGATCAAAGATTAAGTGTTGCCTGTGAATTTAAACTTTCATTTTTATTTTGCAAGCACTGCAGTAAAAACTGCTCTTAAATATTGCTACTGCTCATATCTACGAGTCGTTCTGCACTAATTGCACAGAATAGTACTAGAAATGTACATTCCTCTTCGATTTTATTGCATAGCACAAATTATAGTAATAAATAATTCAGCGTCAGCAAGGAGAACTTTTCAGTAGGCAGGAAAAAAGCTGCCGTTGTCTGAAAGCGTCTCAAATAGAATTTTTCAAGTAGTAATTGGTGTAGGATCAATTCTTCATTTTGTTTTCAAAATTTTGCAAATAATTTTTGTCAACTCCTTTTACATATGGTGTGGATTATTGTCTAAGGTCAGTCTTCTGCTTTGAAGTTATTGTGTATTCCAGCATTGAATATGTAGTGCGTAAAACTCATTAATCTTTTTTAGTTTGATATATTTCGTCAGTTTGATTTGTAATTTGTAGTGAACACATTTCAGTAGACATTAAAAGTTAGACTGTCAGAAATGTTTCATGTGGTCAATGAACGTGAACCAGGTGAATGTTCACGTACGCCCTCACCAAAGCAATCATTTATCCATGCAAATGTGCCACGAGGTTCCCAAATATCGCTACCTAGGTTAATTATGGACGAACTCTATTTACTACAAAATCTTCTGTGCACTTAATACTTTATTATTTTTACACACGTTTTTAGATATATTAGTATTTATTTTTCAGTCCTATACTAATAGCATTTTCATGAATTACCATAAATTTCTATTGTATAAATTATAAATCTGGCGCTTTAGACTATCATTTCTAAAAGTCCAGGATTATAAGTTAACGAAATTCATAATGATTATTATCTGTTACAAATAGTAAACATTAGTTATGGATATCAGAGATAAATTTGAATTATTTTGTGTTATACTATTTCATACACTTTTCATGGAAATGTTAAAAAATTACTTTTAAAGTAGTTCATATATCACTGCTTCATAATATAAGCGTTATTTAAAAACTAAAAACTTTCATGTTAGTATGTATAACCTTCTTCCAATGCAGTTTGAGCAATTGTTCTTTCAATTTTGTTCACATACTCAGTTCACTAATTCGTAGTTAATATATGCGCAAAAATCAATTCTAGTACTTAGTGCTAGAAGTTTTAGTCAGCTGTTTCTTATTTAAGCTATATTTCAGAAATGGAAAACATGCAACGGGTGGGTCAGTTATAGAGCTAGTGGATTTAGTAACTGATGACGAAGAAAATGAAGAAAATATAGAAGTAAGAAGTTGACTGCATTAAATTGCAAACTAAATCAGTTCGATTTGAGATAAGTATGAACCATCTATATACTATGTAAATTGTAGAATACACTCATGTAATACATCATATTCTGATTGATATATTTGGTTTCATTTGTAGTCTAGTGATGAAGAGAGATGTCACGTTGAAACGAATCTTTTTATTTTGGATACGGTTGGGTTTCAAATTATTGACGTGGAGGAATGCGATGTTGAAAGCTCTACTGCATTAATAAATGATGCAAAGAATGAAGAGTGCATAAGTGTGCCGGAAATGTTCAGTACTGGAAGAAAAAAATTTAATGCGTCGAATGATATCCTCACCAATGATGTTCCATCATCATCAGATGAGAAAAAAGAAAGGTTGTTTTGAAATATAATATTGTTATATCAATTTCAAGAAGTTAGCTGCTGTAGTGATCTCAGAATTGAAACTGATTTTAAGCACTCGTGATATTTCATAATGAAGTGGTTTTTTCTCCGAGCAATATCGTTACTTGCTTGATAATGAGAACAAAAATGAAACCAAGTTATCAAAATTTGAAATATGGACTTTCAGTACATTTAAAGTAAACTGCTTCAATTGTGATGGGGAACACAGTTTTCAAGACTGTGAATTACCTCTGGACCATCAAAGGATAGCTGCAAATCGAGCAGTGCATTTCAATAATAAACGTGTAACACAAGAACGTTACACCAGTGCTGGTGAAATTGGATCTAACAGTTCATTGAAATTGCGGTAGGGTTTTATATGATATTTATCTAACAATGCATTTGAGATGTCGGATTTCATAAGATATATATCTAGATTTTAGCAAGTTTTATCTAGGCCTGGTGAAATAAGTGATACTTTGAGAGAAGCTTTGGGTATTGGTCGCAGTGATATTCCAGAATGGATTTATCGAATGCGTCGAAGGGGCTTTATCGATGGTTATCCACCAGGATATTTAGCGGAGGGGCGTTACTTGCTACTTGCTTCATTAAAAATATTTTGAAATGCTCAAGATTATCATATTATTAATGATTTTTGATTACTACATATAGTAGCATAAAAGTAGATACTTAAAATTCATGGCTGTTGAGATGATTTGATGTGTTATTTTCATCTAAGAAATTTCGTTTTTAGGCTGTCGAAGAAAGTTTGAACGATGAATCACTGTTGGAATTTCATACAGATGACAAGACATTAGAAACTTCTGTTATTCAAGGTGCATGTTCAATTTTCTGATATATGTTGGAATTGGCCATTAAATTCTAATTTTTTTCAGAAACTAGTAAGCTTCGAAGCTCTACGCTGGCTGTCGATAAAATAATTGCATATCCTGGTTTTAATTACTATAATCGTAATCTCAATGATGTAAGGCCTTATTAATTTTTTTCATTCTCTTGCAATCTTGCATTTTGTAACAAGTTCCTTTAATCTTTGAGTTATTACAAATGCTATACTGTTGCGCTTTTTTATTCTGCAAAGTTTCTCGAATATTCTCTTTGATAAACGTATGGAAAATATGGATTGATTTGCAGTGTGAATGTTTTCGAGTACCAAGATTCACAGAATATATTAAATATCTTCAGGAGTACGTTGGGGCGATCTATATGGTGAACATTTTTCTACATTCGTGTGTTTTTAAACGAAATTGAATGAAAGTTACACAATCTTATCTTTTTCACATTTAAATATTTAAAAAAATTTTGTTTCTAGCAGTCTGAGATTAGCAGTTATCAGAATAGTACTACAAAACGTAGAAAGCATTGGGAACAACGTGAGAATGATTGTAAACGACTTAAAGGCAGTAAGTTATAATTTGATATAATCTTCAACGTGTAAATTAAAGAATATTTTTTGTTCTTCAATGCTCTTATAAATTTCCATATTTGATTTTCTATGTATTTTTAGCTACTGCTGAATCACATGAAAATGGTTTGTTCTATTTACAAGCAGCAGAAAATTTGTCAGATGAGAGTGAAGTAAGTTTTCATTGCTGAAACTTGAATTTTGAAACTTTAAAAACTGAATTTTTGAATTCTACTCTAGATCAGCGATGTGAAATACTGATTCTGAATAATTTCAGTTAAAAGCTGACGATACTTCACTTTTTCTGGACGAAGTTTCAACAGCTTCCTCGTCAAACAATTCACCATCTAGCAGTAATCACAGAACTTTATTTGGGACTCCCGTAGCTTATCGAGGAGAACATGTAATTATTTCGAAGGTTTAATTCTTGAGGAATCTGGTCTTTTGAATTTGAAAAAAAAGTGCTTTTTAGGAGAAGAAACCATCTTTGGAAAATTTCCGAGATGGTATTGTGCCATTCGAAGCTCTCCGTGAAAATACGAAAAATTATGGTTTTTTTAGAAAGTTACTGACAAAGATTCGAATGAGAAAGTAACTATTGCGTTTGGAATTAAAACTTTTGAGATTACTAGATCTCTCTAGTTTCATTGAAACTTCATAATGTTTATTAAAAATTTTTAAATATATCTTGATTATATTTTTATTTATTTATATATATTATGTTGTTTATGACATTGATTCCTATGCATTAATACGGGTCTGATTTTTTATCTTTTCCTAACTCTGTTTGATTGCAACAATTCATGCAGCATTTTGTTGGATGTACATTTTGATGGATGTCATAATTAATTTGCAGTTTACATGTGTTTTATTCTCGTACTAGTAACGTTCAAATTTATGTTTATGAGCTATGATGAATTTATTATAGTTGGAAAATTGCTCAATTTTACTTTGTAAATTTCAAAGTTCAGAGCAAATTAATAGATAATAAAAAAGCAGTTCTGATTCTCAAACATTAAGGGGCATAGATTAAAATCTGTTCTTTCAAAAGTTTGATACATGATTTAAGGTTGTAAGTGTTTCTGTGCCTATGGTTCACCATTTTTACTTATGGTATTATTGATGGTACACTTTTTGAAAGCAATGAGATTGAGTTTTTGTTTAACATGTGAAAAGATGACTTTTAATAAGGTCCTTTTTAATTTATGTGGGATTTGCAGTTTTTATTTTATTAGTGTCTTAAATTTAAGATGGTATGTGAATTTTTGTAACCTTTATCTTATAAAGAGAGTGCAGTTCTTGGATTATGTCGAAGTGCAGGGCTTGTGATATTTTCTTTGTTCAAATCATAGAAAATGAGTGTAAATACCGAACAAAAAGAAGTCAAATCTGTTCTATTATATGCGCTTTATATGCTTGAGAAGAGATAATTTGTGGAGTTGTATCTTAGTAGAGAAAGCGTGTAGATCTACCACATAATGATGTGCTTTTGGAAATTAGTGTTTGCTGTCAGGGTTTGTTCGGCACCTGAGATGCGTTTGCATGTGTAGCGCAATGTTTGGAAATGAACTTTTTCACGACAGTTCAATTGTCACTGACACGATCATTTAAATTTTGCTAGCTAAGTTTTTTTTTTCAGTTTTCGAATATGAGCGAGATCGTTGAAAGAGATGATATTAATAGCTTTTCTGGAAATTCTGAGGTAAGTACCATCATGTTCATCGTAGAGTATGCACTTGATAAGTATATTTATAGTCATGTAACTTCCATTAAACATAAAGCACTTGTGGTTATCACATTTTGTTGAAATAAAGTGGGTGATTATTGGAACGGTTAGCTCGAACTTGAAGCTGTTAAAATGAACAAACTGAAGGATTGTTGAATTGTAGTCTAGTTAGTATGTCAAAGAATAGCCTGGTTAATGAGCTGTATTTCAGGGAAATGACTCTACCACCATACATATCAATACAAATGCTTTCTTGGTTGATGAGACGTCGTCATCAGATAGTTCTGATGAAATAGCTGTGTTTGATAGTCGAGATTTAAGCCTTCTAAGTTATGAGAGGAAAGTGCTGTAAGTGTCATTTCTTTATTTGTTCAATAACTAGTGAAATTTGACTGAGCAAGAACGTGTTGCTGTGAGTGCTTCTTTTGTTGAGCACCAGTTTATTCCGACAAACACATTCCATAGTTTTTATTAAGATTTATATTAGATATAAAAAGTTCGATTTGTATTTGATCAAATTGTTTATACGATAGCATGTAGAGTTACTGAAAGTTGCAGCTGTACTCGTCATCAAAGTCGATCAAGTCTAAATAGGGGTTTTTATTCACATTAATTTCTAATGAACAAATTACACATATTTATGTGAGATAATGAGTCCGGTTTTTCTCTTAGATTTAATTTTATTCATAAGCCAGTTAGTTTCTTTGATTATTTTTAGTTGCGAAGAGAGAATATGTGATTTATATAAGGCATTTCGCTTCAATGGTCCCGAGTACAAGTCGAAAAGAACTGTTTATGGTTCTGCGACATTAGACACAGATTTTTTTGATCATATCCAACAAAAGGTTTTGCTTTGTTATAAATATAGTAACCCATAATTATGGTTATTAGTTTTGTAAAATGCAATGATGTTATTGATTCCAAGATAAAGAACTAAAAAACTCATGCCTCTAGGATCATTCTGAATTTTTTTATTCTATGGATTTATATTCAATTATAGGTCAGCCTCAATTTTGATGCGCGAAAAATCTCCCAAGCTCTTAATTTATATCATATCAAAGGTGTAGGAATCAGAGTTGGTGCTAGCAGAATGAGAATATCAGTATTTGACTTCATTGTGCTTTTGATGGACCATATTTGGAAAGGTCCTAGTTTCAGTATTGCATTAGTCTTCATTTAGATTTTTTCTCGTATTTTTCTTCTACAAAAAATTTTGAGTCGTATATACCATCTATATATGTTACTCTCTACGCTTACTTTAATTGGAAATAGAAGTTGTAGAACGTAATAGAACAGTAAAAAACTACAGTATTTATCGCGTCGCTGGTTATGTGGGCGTGGATCGCTCTCATTTACTGCTTTTAAGTAATTTGGTGAACAGTAATTTTGTACTCTCTCCTTCTGAAATAGCTGTTGTAAGTTTGCTTTTGAAATCCATGGTTTTCCATTTTATTTTTTTGTGTTTGTCTTAATTTTTGATAGCTATTGGTCATCATTTAATTTTCTATGTTAGTTTCAGACCATTAGAAATCAGTTTCTCATCTCGTGTACCAAAAAAATAACTCCTTCGGTGAAGTTATGTATTTCGAACAAATTGTATATCAAAAAAATTTCGATGTTTCAGAAGACTCTTTGTGAACCAACAGAAATGATTGTGATGTTAACGATGGTATTAGCTCAAATGTATAGTTGGCCTGTTGCTAAAGATTTCAATAAGAAATGGAAAAATGTCAGTTTCAAATTAAAATCTACATGTTTTTAAAATGTTTACAAGTTCAAATTATTCTTTTTCAAAAAATTTTTATTTAAGATTGAGACAGCTTCTATACCTTCGGATGAGGAAGCTGTGCAGTCCCTGAATGATTTAACTACCATAGCTCTTGAAGTATTGGAGAGCTTCAAAAATGATCGACCATCATCTGTTTGGTAGTGCATTATTTATGCTTTCATTTTTCGAACAAATTTCATGGAATCTTAGCGTATATACTTGTTCTTGATAGTGTTATCATAATTTATAAATAATGTTTGTTATGATTTGTGTCCTATGCACTAATTTTTTTCGTTTTTTTGTTTCTTTTTTCAAGTATTTGATTCACTTGTGGTTAACATACGGTTCTGTTATTCAGTGATTTAAAAGTTTTTCTACACGATGGGCATTCTGTTATGTTGTTTAGTAATGGCACTTTATTTTGTTTATTTTTCACGAATTTCAGCAGTGCTATGAATGGAAGTAACGACACCGATTTGATTACAATGTCGAATGAATTAACTGAGTACACTAGCAGTCTTCTAAATGAATTGGTGATGATTGAGATTAAAGATTATTGTCTGTTTAATGAATTCAAAATTTATGCAATTAAATGTGATTATTAAACCATGGGACAGACGAACCCTTCATCTGTTTTATGTAGGTTTTTAAAAGCCAAGTTTTATTAAGTTTATCATTATAATCAAAATCAGTTGTGCAGCGTGCTTTACCATTAGCCAGTGAAAGCATACCAGAAGTTTGTTCTTTAACTCCAAAATGGTCACATTGGGCAGAATCTTTGATCAATCAACAGTCTTCAAGTAATTCTGAAAAGAATGAGGTTGGTTCACGACAAAACAATAAGGATTATATGGCAAGTTTGATCTTTATTAATATATAAAGTTTAAATCCTTATCAATTGTATATGTTGCACCCGTTAAATTTCCAAAATATTTCCTATTTTGATTGTTTGATTAGCATTTTTGATGATTAGTTTAAAAGATTGGTCAGCTTTACAAATTTTGAAATTCGATATTATTAATTGAGAGATTTATATGTTGTTTTTGGTTACAGCTTAATGAAATAGTTTTTCATCTATTCGGAAACTGCTATAGGATACGTTTGGGGAAGAAATCAGTGTTGTCACTATAACAAAAGGTGAAACTTCACTGAATAATTATGTCATTGTCGATGATCCTGTAGATATCAGTGACATTCCGAATGGTTCTTTCTGTTTAGCTCGGCAACAGAAAGCATATAATTTCGTTCGTTGTCAAATTATTAAAAGGGTAAAATTTTTTACTGTGTTTTACGAATTAAAAAATAGAGCGCAGATTTAAATAGGACGATTTTTGTTCTTAGATATCAAGGATTTTGCAATTCTAATTATTTTATTTTAAATTTGGAAATTGAGATTTTCACGAGAAAAACTGTAGGCATCTTCTCGTGAATATTGTGTTTTGTTTGGTGATGGCAACGAAGAAGTTGTTGACATATCACGTATTGCTCGTAAAATTGAAGGTCGTTTACGTATGTGGGAAGGAGTTCGTGTTTGCGCATTGTATGAACCAAAGTAAGTTTTTATGGTTCTCACGCAAGGACTTAATTTTGAACTGGACTTCAGTCTTTGTTATAATTTTTCAGACTTGCATCTGAACGTTATCGCAAAGCCTTTTATTCTGGAATAGTTGGTGTTGGACCACATGGATTTTCACAGAATGAAATGCTGGTAGTCTTTTAAAAATACTATAAAATTAAATCAGAAGCATTCGAAATAATTTTTGTGTTGTTTCTTTTTTCCGCAGACTAATATTATTTGTAGTGATATTATGTGCTAATAACTTGCAGATATTTTTCGACAATGGCGTTGATAGTTTTGTCCATGAACGAACCGTGTATATGCTTGCAGAGCAAAAAAGTAAACTAAATGGTGGTAAAGAAGTAAGTTTTTGTTGAAGAAACGTTCACGTCTTTATATGCAAGTTTGGAAGGTTTTTTTTCTAAATTTAATTCAGAAAGTAAAATGGGATTCTTGAGTTTAAAAAAATATGTCAGTCAATTTTTGTAGGAAATCGATCGTCGTAATAATTGGTGCTTAGTTCCTCAAAGTCGGCAGCGATTTATGCATCACTATTTAAAGAATTTTCCGGACTGGCCGTTGGTACCAATGAGGCGGAAAGAAAACACTCAGCGAGTAAATGTAAGATTATATAATTTTTCACTGCTTGCTTTTTAATGTTCCCTTCATCACTTTTTGAAAATTTTTATTCAATATGAATTGAAAGGAAACCTTTCTCTGCTTTTTCTATTTTTTTGCAGCATGATTTTCAAAAAAAAAAAAATTAATAAATGTTTTTATCACTCTTAACATTATGTTTTATGTGAATCACAAGTAAACTTATACAGATTCTTCGAGATGGCAAAGCGCAGTCTGCATTTGTGTTACGAATTGACCGACAATTTGCATTACTCCGGTTCCCAAATCGTCAAAAATCTGGTGCAGATTGCGTAGCACTTCCATGCAATCGTCATAGTCATCTGGATGAATGGATATATCGTGGCTCCGAGAGATTGGAAGCGATTCGTCAAACAATTGATGTATTTGAAAAAATTAATGTAGTTCAAAAAATTGAGTTGGAAAACAATGGTTCTCTTTAAATCCTGGTTATGACCTGATTTTCATTTTAATTATCAAAATTGTAGTAGCTGAATATATTTTAGACCTTAATGACATTTTCACGTTATCTACAGAGATTAGAAAAAATTGAGCGGCAAGAAAAAGTGGGAGTGGGCATGCCGCTAACGCGTTCCAGGCGGGAAGCACGTTTGCCGCATAATTTGGAATATACGCTTCCACTTTTACGAAGACACATTTCAAATGTGGATTCATGGTATAAGAAATTGCATTCAAAGTGTTTCTGAAAAAGATATAATTATTGTTCTTGGAACAGTGTTCAAATTTTTCAGTGAAAATATGGATCTCTGTCAACGTGGTCGAGTTTTGCTGGGTGATAATGAATCGGTGGGCTTTATTGGCATCTATTAGGTTGTGCAGTTGTTTTATTAAAACTGAAAATAATTGAATATTTTTCAGATTTATCCTAGACGTCAAACAGCTCGAAAAGGAGGAAATACAACTCTCCAGAAGGAAATTGACTTTCAAGATGACTCAGTTCTTGAAGGCAAAGCGAACCGTCCACGAAAAGAGGTCTGTAATGGATGGGATGATGAGAAGTCGAAATTCGACAGTTTTCTTTAAAGTGTATCAAGCATATTTATCAACTATCCATTTAAAAAATATGTGAATATTGAAAATGCCATTTTTGTAGAAAAATCTGATCGTACACACCATACCAGAATGGAGTGGATTGCGGCAATCTGCACATTCACAGTGTACTATTGATTGCTTGCAACGCCTAGATAAAGATCCATATGATAAAGATTTTTCTGGTTACTCACCTTATATGATTCCTATGCTGGTCGGATGGTCGCGAGAAGTAAGTTTTTCTATTTATATGTAATGTTTGTTCTCTTTTTAAATTTTAATTTAATTATCGGAAAAACATCTGAACCACCCTGAGATTCTGAGTTCGTTTTATTTTTTTTTAAAGTTTAATTTCTTAGGAACGTTATTCTTAATTTTGCAAGATTTTTTTATATTTGTTCAGTTTCTCCGATGACAATGTAATCTTTAAATTCTGTTCATTTCAGATCGCAACTTTCACGAGGAAAACTAAACTAGCTCATAATCATAAAGTAGCTGGTTCTACTATTGTTTATCGAACGCCTTGTGGAATTCCTACTTATAGACTCGACCAAATCACAAAATACTTGAAGGTTTGCATATTAGTGGTTAAAAAGGAGAGAATCAGTACAGTAAAGTAAAGAAATAATTTGACGTTCAGCAGGATTGTGTATAAAATAGCCCGTATAAAAGGATTTATTTATATGGTTCTCAGAAATAGTAACACAGGTAGATCAGTTAGGAAAATAATTGACTTTGTGCTGATTAAATAACTAGGAAAGTTTTTTTGTTCGATAATGAGTTTTATTTTCAGGATACGTGCAGTCGTTTGACTATTGATTTATTTACATTCGATCGAAGAATTCGTCCTAATGTCGTTTATCAAACACCACGAAGAAAGAGGATATTAGATGATATCACAAATGGCTACGAAGCAGTTCCCATTTCTGTATCTAATGAAATTGATGATGATAAGCCGCCACAAGTATTTTTTCATTGTGATTTTTTTGATCGAAAGTTTAGTTATGTTCAAATTGAAGTTCTTCCAAAAAAAACTTAGAAAATTTCAAGATTGAGTATGATCCAAGAAGATATCCATATGATAAAAATACGGACATATCATCTATTTCAATGGATTTCTGTTGCGGTTGTACTTGCACTGGTCAGTAAATTTTATACTATTCCTTTATTTATTGCTACAAGTTTTTTCGGTGTTTATATTTGCTACTTTTAGTAAACTAATTAAAATTCTAAAATTTATTGACATTGTGAAGAATCTTTTGTTTTAAAATCCTTTCAATATTATTTGAGACGATTGCGCTGATGAATCTCGATGTGAATGTCGACTTTTAACTCGAGCTGAAGTTTTGCGTTTAGATAAAAGCCTTCAACCGTCCTCTGCTATAGGATATATGTGAGCTAATTTATTCATAGCAGTTAACCGACAACATAAAATATTCATAAGAAGTTTAGATGGGGCATATTTATAGTTCTCTACATTGCATAATTTAATGTAGTGAGTCTTAGTTGGTGCGTCTTTCAATCCGTTTGTGTGGTTTGTCATTATTTTTATATATTTTCAGTTAGGAAAATTAGACTTCAAGGCACATGTAAAAATGAAATGAGTTAAAAAAGAAAAAATAAGGATGTGAATAAATGCAAAATGGCATATGATTTTTTCGAGTTCTGTTATCATTTATGGATATCGTTTTTCGTTTATTTGCTAGCATTTTCTTCAGGTTTCGTAATTTGGCTCTTAGTGGTAGTGACGAGTCTTATATGTCTGGTTTGTACGAATGCAATGAAAAGTGTGGATGTAGTCGAAGTAGTTGCCATAATCGTGTAGTTCAGCAACAGATAAAATTTCCTTTAGAGGTTATTTGTTTTGAATCTGATCATTATTCAGTGAATTCGAATTTCACCTCTTATTAGATCAACCTAACCTTGGTGCTTTTTTTCTCTCTCCAGTTATTCAAAACAGAGAAAATGGGTTGGGGTGTTCGATCGTTGGTTGACATTCCGGAAGGCGTTTTTGTATGTACTTATGCTGGTGCTGTTCTTACGGATAGTCAAGCTGAAAAAGAAGGAAAAGAGGCAAGTTTTTATGCATATGATTTTGTATTCATAGTTACTTTATTTGCCCCACTCGTTACAGCCTATTTTTAAAAAAAATAACACATCAAACATTTTATCAAAGGCGAAGCAATTCATGTGCATTTGCCTCTCTACACTATTAAATCTAAAAGTGGTACTTAAAATTTATTCATTGTTTTGGGCTGCTTGTTCTTAATAATGCAACTTTTTTTTCGGTTAAGAAAATCATTTTGCATCAAGTTGTTAGGAATTCGCAAACATTGAAAATCAAATCCTAAAAAACGGTTTCAGTTTGGTGATGAATATTTTGCCGACATAAATCTGGTAGACAATGTTGAAAAAGAAAAGCACAATGCAGGTGTTGATTTGGAAGATCCGAATGATGGTTATTATTCAGATGATGAGATTCAAGGTAAAAATTCTTTTTTTTTAGGATAGAAATTGTTGGGATACAATGGCCATTTCAAAGCTATCTTTTTTTGACTGTAAAATTTTAAGGCAGAGAACAAAATTTGTCTGAAACTGGATCAGAATTAGAATATGAGGATGTTTCCGATGAAGACGGCAATTATGATAGGTTAAAAATTTTCTCAATAAGTTGTATTATGTAGGGGAAGTGTTGTCATCAAGTAGAACTATTTTTTTAACAGCTAAATAGTTAAAATTTTACCATGTTTGGAGTGATGCTGTATGACAGAATCGGTTAAAATGATAAGCATTCAAGTTTCAGTGGTCAAGACTCATCGTTTTCGTCGGAGGAAAGTCATGGCGCGATGCAAAATATCAAAGTACAAAAGTTTCGAGGACGGGAGCAAGAAAAAATTAGTTTCATTGGCGGAAATGAAGGTTTTGTCGAAGCAGAACAAAACACCTTGGCAAGACAATTACATCATTTACTCACTTTCACTGAGTTTCTAAGTTTTAAGTTGAATGAAGAGTGCCTCAACAATTTTGATGAATTCGCACTAATTTTTTTAGGAAAAGAATCATTTAGTAGCAGATTTGGACTATGCACGATCATCTCTTGTTATGATGGAACCAGATGTGTTTGATGATGAAATGCAAGCAGATAATAGATCGGAAATCGAGAGATCCGGTAGTAACTTTACCTAACTTTAACTTAAGTTCATTATTTATGGTAATTTGTAAATTATAGTTAATGAATTTGATAACTTAAAAATTAGCGAAAAATTCTTTTTGTTTTATATTGAAATTTATATAAACTAGTTTCAGAAATAGGTCCACCTAAAGGTCGATTTGACATGGTAAAATACATTGAAAATATGGGCTTTCCGTCGCTGTATACAATTGATGCCAAGAAAAAGGGCAATATCGGTCGATTTTTTAATCACAGTTGTCAACCTAATATTCGTTCGCAATTGGTATATGTTGACACACATGATTTTCGTTTACCGTGGATTGCGTTTTTTACAACAACAAAGGTTTCCGCGGGATCGGTACTTGTTAATGTTATAGTTACAGTTTTTCAGTAATTCGTATTATGTAATTTTATGATATTGAAACATTTTAAGTTTTCCCGCTGCAAATATTCGTATTTTGGGAAATAGCTATTTTCGGTTTAGAAGTTTTGTACTTGTTTGTTCATTGTATGACCTTGAAATGAACCAAACAAATAATATTTTCTTGTGTAGCTTTCAAGAAGTCAAGATTTGTCGCAAATTTTCAAATTGATTACATTGTTTGCAGTTGGAACTTTTATTAAAAAGGTTTAGAATCATTTTGTCTAGATAATCATGATTTAAATCTTGCTTCAGTTAAATAGATTTTGTTTGAAGGAGTTGTTCTGGGATTATGGTTACTCTGAAGGCACTGTCGATGGAAAGCAATTAGAATGTTTTTGTGGATCACGTTTCTGTCGCAAGCGTTTACTATGAAATATATAAGTATTTAATGTGTTTAATTATTAGGTTGGATAAATTTATTGCGCATATGTAATTTTTCTGCAGTTTTTTAATTGTTCTCCTCGATGTTAGAAATAAATTTCGAGAGGAACCCCGAAGATATTGCTTGTAGCAGCAGTTTCAACAATGATCTCCATGTGGGTAATAACAGAAAACTTTATTCAAATCAGTGCACATGACTTATGCTGGATCAAGATATAAAAACGCATCAAGAGGGAAAATTCTGCTTAAATCATCTTCAGAATTTTGGAATTGCGTATTTCATTTACAACACTGTCATTTACTCTTTATAACTTGATTCCCGAGGTTTCAATCACCAACAAGTAATCAGAAGTGATGTAATGTATCACTCTTTTTCTGTATTTGATTCCAAGTACTAAGGTAAATTAAGATTGGAAGTACAGATGGATAAACAACATGGAGGAAAGAACTAAGAATGAGTGATATTACATAATGGAATTCTAACGTCTTGTGCCATCTTCAAAGAAGACACCACCATCTAAAGCACAATACTTAGGACAAATACCGCGTTCACCTTGCGGTCCAGGATGTCCTGGTGGTCCTTCTGGTCCATCTTCTCCTGCCTGACCTGGTTGTCCAGGAGGACCTGGTGGTCCTTGTATTCCTGGTGGACCCTCCGATCCGGGACGTCCAGCTGCCCCTTGATCGCCAGGTAATCCTGGTGGGCCCTGAATTATTAATGTTTTAAGAATATTGTTATTTAGTAGAATACTGGCATGAATTATAGTTTTGGCGCATAACTCACAGATTCGCCGGGTACACCTGGATCACCAGGTGTTGCGGGCAAATTAATTGCTGGTCGTCCAGGGTCACCGCGAAGACCATCTCGTCCTGGTTCTCCCGGTGGTCCAGGAGGACCTGGAGGACCTTGTGGTCCCGGTGGTCCTTCATTACCATTACGACCTGGATGTCCTGGTTGCCCAGCATTCCCTAAAATTTGATTTGTGAGTGTGGATGATTAATGGCAATATATAGAATAAGGAGATTCAATTCTAACATTTAATTCATTTAAGTTTAATGATCAATAGAAAGAAAGTTACCTTGATCTCCAGGAGGTCCTGGTGGGCCGGGTTCTCCAGGTGGGCATGGTGTACATGGTGGCTCAGTTGCTTGTTCACAAATTCTAAAAATGCTTTTAGTAATTGTCAGTTAATTGTTGTAATAAAATTGTAACTAATACTTGATTTATATTGCGCAGTGACATCAAGAAAATAAGCTTTCACTTACGCTGGCGGTCTTCCTGGAAATCCTTGTGGACCAGGTGCACCAGGGCGTCCGGGAACGCCATGTTTTCCTGGCGGACCATCTGGACCAGGAAGTCCTGGTAAACAACAACCTGCAAGTAACTTGTCATGAGAATTTTCAATGATTTCAGAGTGAACTACTTCGTACCATAGCAAAATTAGTAATTCATAACTTAAAATGTTGTAGAGTATTACTAACCTTTTCAATCATCGAAGACTTCAAAAATTCTCAATATTCATTAAATGTGCAAAGTTTGAAAGTAAATTGTTTGCTAATGTGATTTAACCTTCGCATTGACTGCTTTGCCTTTTAACACGTCCACTATTGGCAGTTCTGTTTCCCCAAAATTTGTAAACTGTAGGTGTGGTACTTCGTGGTCCAGCTCGGTACTCGTTCACTTCCATCATCACATCACGAGCTGAGAGCTGAAAGTGCTCATTTTATAAAATTTCTGCTACATCGAAAATGCAGTCAGTATGAGATCATATTGTGTTGGAGCAGTTAACTTGATCTACTTCTAACTAAATAGCTGATTATCAAACACTGCAGAAGTATTACATGTTAGGAAGCTAAAATATTCGTCTCTTATTGTGTCTTATTTTTCCGTTTAAGGAGAAGATGGATGACTTATCAGTAAAGAACTATGCAAATTACTAGAATCATTTTACATAAAAATCAGAATTAATTTCCTTGTTTTATGCTAACAAGAATGAAAGTCTATATCGATCAGCACCACTTTTGCAGAAATTGTTAGTCCTTATTAATGTTTTGCTAATTAGTAAGTATTTCCTTGAACGATGATATGACACTACGATTATCAATCATAAACTCAACTTGTTGAATACGAAATTTGCAGTATGAATGTCTTTAAAAAAGTGAAGTAATTCACTTTCATACGTGCATAAAGTGACGCAGTCATTGTTGATAAGAAAATTGCTAAAAACCAGAATGCAATCAGAGTTAAGACATTTATATGCATATGCAAAATTATTTATTTATCGAAAAGTATCGTAAAAAGCAATGTTATCAATGATAAACAATAGGAGTGATAATGTTGTCATTATTTACTGAATTTCTCGTCAAAAATGGTAACAGTAGATAATCAGATTTCATGAACCTTCCTTGCTTTTACTGAAATATTGAAGTAGTAATTTAATAATAGTAAATTGATGGGAAGAAAAGAATAACGAGATGAAAAAGAAGCAGAACTGTGAACTAATGATAATCCCATCCTTTTGAGAGCGCTAATCAAAATCCCATAGTGCCAAACTTTATCATGCATTCAAAATAAGCTGCGTCTATGATTCAAAAATACATTGTATCTGTTAAAATTTTTAAATTTATAATAATCACTGATTATTATTATTATTATTGCAGTCAGTGTGTTTCTCAGGATTTTTTGTGATTGCTAGCAATTATGTATTTACTCGTTTATTTTTTAGAATTCTTAGAACTGGTCTAACACTTCAATCAGTGCCCATTATAGCACAACTTCTTTTTCTATTCATGCCATTTTCACGAACATCCCTAATGCAAGAAATGCGTTTCAGCATATTTTGTTATCAACAAAAGTCGGTTATATTAGCTTTTCCTCTAGCCTTTTTCTAAAAAGCTTTTATTGCATGAAACAATAGATCAAATATTTTTTGTCAGAAAAGGGTAAATTTAAATAATCATTAAAAAATTAGACTATGAAATAAACAATCATCTTGAGAGTCACGATTAAATTTGACTAAGTAATTATTAAAGAAACTTGACCAACATTATTTTAATAATTACTTAGAATTTGACCTTTTCCCTCTAACAACTCACTCATTCAGTTTATTTTATCTCAAAAAAATATTTCCACTTCACTCTGAGACTTCATTTTTTCTAAAATTTTTATCCAAAGAGTATTTGAAGAATTCGAAAAAAATATGGTAAATATTTTTTACAAATGTTTGGATAATTTTTGGACTTCATATCACTGCAAATACCTAATGCGATTTATTTTAACAAAAATTATGATAAATTATGCAAGGAAAGGCAGTGAATTTGAATATAATTCATTGAATTTCCTAATTACGCTCAGCTAAGAAACAAGAAAAAGTTTAATTTTGAGTATCTTTAATTTCAATTGTTGACTACAGGTAGACTGGACACGCATCAAAAAAATTAGTAAAAATACTTATAATGCAATTGCGCACCTATAAGAAATATAATGTGAAGTATTAAAAAACTGTTTTTGAAAAGTTTTGTAATTTTAGGTAATCGAAAAAGTAATATACCAAAGTCATCACAAATTTTGAGCATGCTGGAAAATTTCTTTCACTGAACAACTAAAATATTAAAAAAATATATCATTTGTAGAGAAAAAAATTCATTTGAAAATTGTGGCTGCTTTCCTAGCATGATACAATTACAATTATTAACATAGCCTTAAAAATTTAGAAAACAAAATTAAAAGTTGATCTCAACTTTAATAAACTCAATACTGAAAAATACTTGAAAGTTTTGGGACTTTTATTCAATAATTTATTTGGCTACTTTTTTCAAAAAATATATAAGCAAAGTTCAATCAATGCATTACTTTTGAGTACTGATTTTGGAAGATTCAAGTCATAGCGTAAAGAAAATTGAAATGGCATGAGACGGGAATTGCATCTCAAAAATAACTGCAAATACAAACCTTACAAAATTCCATTTCTGACTGTACACGCATGTGTATGGAATTGACATAATTATTGACCATTGGTAAGGTTATAAATACAGCTAAGATGGCTACAAATGAAAAGGTTACAGCCATAAAAGTTACTAGGCGATAAGCTTTTTCCCGTATTTCTGATTCGATCAGCATGTTTTGTTGTTTGATCCACCTAGAAGTTTAGTCCATTACTAGACAGCTCAATATTACTCGATGTCAATTATGAAGTTGGATGAAGCAAAGAATGTGAAATTGCTATGATATAAAAATAAATGGCATCAAAAATTATGTTTTTTGAAATAATGAAAGTAAGAAAAATGCAAGAAGTTCGATAGAGTTTTCAGTTTAATTCACATAATATTCACAAGAACATTGCAAATTTGCAAAATGAGTGAAGAAGTTAACTGGAAGTTCCTGGAAGAGTTTATATACGGATTGATTATCTGAGAGCAAATGTTGTGCCACGGAGGTGGACTCGCCCGAGGGATCCACCACGGAGATACCGGTACATGAGCGAAGAGGATGATAAAGTTATTCATCAGTTTGTTTTGTTACGGGACATCACAATTCGTTCTTCCACTTCCCCTCAGGGCAGTTATTACTATTTGTTTATGTGGTTGTCATGCTGTTCATCTTGTCTCTCACTATCTTTCGGATTATCACCATTAGTCACTTACACTACATTTAATTTTATCTTCTACAAGGTCAACGAGAGAGATCAAAAGCAGAAATCAGAAGTATCTTTGCAAATTATAGCTTTAATTTCTATGCGTTTCACTCCCTGATTCGTTCACTCACGATTTTGACTATCAAAAAGTATTATTTAGTAAAATACCTTTAGGGTGTCATCACAAGTACTTAGTAAGTACACACTATCTTACAATTACACTTCACTTTGAGCTTTCGGTGGCAATTTTGATTTTTCTTTTCAGACTACAAATGTGAACAATTAAATTTCAAGCTCTGCAGAATGTGCTTCGATAAGAAGCTTTCAGCTTTTACTATCACTTTCCTGCCACTCTTGTAGAACTTTGTGCAACATTCTTAATGCTTTGTAGCACATTTAAAAATGGAAAGTTGGTTGCTTTGACTCTTCCATACTTTTGTCATTTCGATAAATTTGTGATATATTGTTTTACCAAATTGCAACGATTTGTCCAAAATGAGATCGTTTTCTGACCTTTCGTCGAGTTATCATCGTTTTTCGCAGTCAAGTTCAGCAAAAAAAAGATCTACATATTTTATTACAACTTATCCGCAGAATTCATTCCTGTTTTAAATTGCGTTTATGCCATGGCTATAATTAGATCTTTTTTTTGCGAATGCACTCCATTCAAAGTACTCTTTCATTATGAAAAGACTACATTTTCTGGCAACTTGCATAATTATAATTAAAATTGTTAGTACTGTCACAATAATATTATCATAATAACAATAATAGTAATAATAATAATAATAATAATAATAATAACGCTGGTATATTTCACTTTTAAACTATTAAATCGTTACCGTCATTATTCTCTAATTTGGCTGTCAATTTGATCATAATATTTTCATTAGATGATACGGCAATTTGCACGTTTCCTACAGCTAATAAATAATTTTCTTAAAGCGATTGAATATGCTTTTATTTTTGATTGATTGATTGATTAAGCTTGAATTTCCACAGCAGTTTTCAATATTTTGTAGTTTTATTGTAACCGAAATTTTTAATGTCCGCACTTAAGACAAAATTGGAATGTTCAAAGTGGTTACTTACTAATTTTCAATCACAGCAATCATTTCATTTTCTGTACTTGATATAGTGATGGAACTTATAGCAAACTGACATTTGTGCTATTGTTACTCGTTAAAAGTCATAATAAGAAGGCTGTCTGAGTGTTTCTCTGAATTTGCCTGCGAGCACAAGCAGTGTGTGCCACACGCACGCTCGATGCTAGACTGACTGCTCGAGGAAGCGCTATGCAAATGAATGGTAAGATAAGTCTGAGCACATTTTAACATGCAGAGACTCCTCTCCAAATTATTCCTCTTCAGGTTGATGTTGTACAAGCAAATGCAAACTGATTTATTCTCAAGCAACTCTTTTTATGATAATTCCCTCTATGCTTTCATTTGTATCTCCATGTATCTCACAGTGTATGAAAAGTTGCCGCGAAAAGTGAAGTGATAAAAGGTTGTTGAAGAGATTATTCTTTATTGTCCTCATGAGAAGTGTGCAAAGTAAGGAAGTAAGAGACTACTGTGGTACCGAATCATCCTGAAATAATTACTACTCTTTTCTTCAAGACAATGCAATCACTGAATGGCTTTAGATCAGTTGTTTAACTAATATAAATGGGTTAAGAGAGGAGTTTCACTTATTTAACTGTATCACCAGAATGTTATCGTAATTATCAGAAAAAGATTCACTATTTTTATTTTGGAACTGTAATCAACAACTCGGTCAACGTCGGGATCCATCTTCGAAGAATACACCACCATCGAGAGCACAGTACTTGGGACAAATGCCAGGTTCACCAGCAAGTCCAAGGTGTCCAGGTTGTCCTTTCTCACCCACTCCACCTGGAATGCCAGGTTGTCCTGGCAAACCTGGTGGTCCACGTGCTCCTGCATTTCCTGGCTGCCCAGGATTTCCAGGTGGTCCAACAATCCCAGGTTCTCCTGGTGGGCCCTAAAAATTTACTATGACCCACTGGCATTATTGTGAAAAAAATCTCTGAGCAGATTATATTATGAAAGGTATTCATTCACCTCTGCACCAGGTGGTCCTTGATCTCCAGGTTGGGATGGTACACTCACGATCGACCGGCCAGGTTCACCAGGTACACCATCAATACCTGGGTTTCCATTAGATCCTGGAGGTCCTGGTTGTCCTTGTGGTCCTGGACGTCCTGGATTACCATTCCGACCAGGTGGTCCTGGTGGTCCAGATGGTCCTGTGAGTAAGCAACAAATCTTAGTGAGTAAACAACAACCTTAACTTTCAGCATACATGCTTTCCACTACTTCTTTGTTCAGCTCAAAACATTTGACATGCTCTTCTCATAATGTCAAAATTTTTTGATCAGAAAATCAAAATGTGAAAGATTGATGTAGACTGACCAGTAAGTGAAAAACGATATCAAAGACTAGTAATTCATGAGAAGTTATTGTCTTCAATATAGTTTCTTATCAAATTTAGAAGTTTAAATATGCAATCAATTTTTGGAAAAAAATATTATGGTTCTGAGTAGTAACTGTGTAAATTATCAGTCATTCTTGTTTACTTATTAATCTCGAATATTTACTCAAAAATGGGTAAAATCAATTGTAATAACGATAGTTTACAATAATGGATAATTTATCATTACTTTTTTCAATTTAGAATGCACAAGGAATGCGATATCCGATTAATTACCTCTGCAGTTTAATAACCTCAAGATGAAACTTGTATAGTCTTATAATTAGTAAAATAATGTGAAGCAGTAATGGAGTTAGCAAGTCTTTTACATATAAGACAACTTATTTATTGCATTTTTTGATAAAAATTGCATTTGTTTCGTGTCTGAGTACTTAATAATTATCCAATCAACATTTCATATCGCTGGAAAACTAACAATGAATGAGTTTGAATTATCTGACGTGCCTGTCAAAATGACAATTCGTAATTTTTAATTAACTATGCAACCAGTTTTGCCGTAATTTATCAATTACCTAATGAAAAATGGAAAATTTTTTAAATTTTTGTCGTAATCTCTGTTGGTTTTTTATAGTTATTTAACAGCGGACACAGTTAAACTAACTGTTCTGTTCACTTACAATCCTTTTGCTGAACTTAAAAGACGTAACAATACTGGAAATTTTTTTCTCATATTTGCAAAGATGACGTAAACGTAAGACAAAGTTAATAATGAGTTGTCATTCAAAAATGAAGCCATTTTTATAATTGACTATTAAGAACAAGTAGTCATCAATGAGATGGAAAATTCGGATAAGAAATGTTCCAGTCGTGTAACCGTTTCTATTCCATGTCAATTCTTTGTGAATTCAAAATATTTTGTGTGCGTAATGCGCAGTTTGTGGCAAAATTATCAATGCATGAAAAAGCTACAAAAACTTGTTTTGAACTAATAGTGGGAACTAATATGAAAACAAATGCGATGAGATCAATGCATTTAACAATCATTCTTAAGGAATGCGAAGGCAGTACTAGAAATTGTGATTTTATAGATCTGATTATAGAAGGACTTCCAAATAAATCTCCAACTCTATTCTTGCTGTTTGCAGCGAAACTATTATTGCTTGCGATAAAAACTTTATAGAGCAATCAAGAAGATCTTAAATTGGTGGCATTAATAATAGCTGATGGATTGAAGCTCAGAAGGAAAAACTAAAGTTACACTTAAAGGTGAGGTTATGGACTGCAGTTGGAGTATTCTAGTGAAAGCAGTCGTTTAACTTTTCGCATCTATTTTTGCTCTTTTTTCTAAATGCAAAATCTTTCTCATATCTTTCTTAGCAGAGACCTGACTTATAGAAAAAGTTTTTGATACTTAAATTCAGTAAATAATTTTTATGATTAAATTTTAAAATAATTATATATATGGCGGTTAATCTTCTTTTTCGCTTCATTCTGCCTCATATATATATATATATATATATATATATATATATATATATA